TTAATTATTAAATATTTACTTATGTACATAATTATTATGAAAATTTCAAGGAATGAAATAAAATGCCAATATATTTTAGTTGTATGATAATCTCAAGATAACAGAGTGCTGTTGAATTGCTTTGTGTCATAATGGACTGTTACATATATATATTTTTTTTCAACAAGTCGGCCGTCTCCCACCGAGGCAGGGTGACCCAAAAAAGAAAGAAAATCCCCAAAAAGAAAATACTTTCATCATCATTCAACACTTTCACCTCACTCACACATAATCACTGTTTTTGCAGAGGTGCTCAGAACACAACAGTTTAGAAGCATATACGTATAAAGATACACAACATATCCCTCCAAACTGCTAATATCCCAAAACCCCTCCTTTAGAGTGCAGGCATTGTACTTCCCATTTCCAGGACTCAAGTCCGGCTATATAAAAATAACCGGTTTCCCTGAATCCCTTCACTAAATATTACCCTGCTCACACTCCAACAGATCGTCAAGTCCCAAATACCATTCGTCTCCATTCACTCCTATCGAATATGCTCATGCACGCATGCTGGAAGTTCAAACCCCTTGCCCGCAAAACCTCCCTTACCCCTTCCTTCCAACCTTTTTGAGGATGACCGCTACCCCGCCTTCCTTCTCCTACAGATTTAAATGCTCTCCATGTCATTCTACTTTGATCCATTCTCTCTAAATGACCAAACCACCTCAACAACCCCTCTTCAGCCCTCTGACTAATATTTTATTAACTCCACACCTTCTCCTAATTTCCACACTCCGAATTTTCTGCATAATATTTACACCGCACATTGCCCTTAGACAGGACATCTCCACTGCCTCCTCGCTGCTGCATTCACAACCCAAGCTTCACACCCATATAAGAGTGTTGGTACTACTATACTTTCATACATTCCCTTCTTTGCCTCCATAGATAACATTTTTTGACTCCACATATACCTCAAAGCACCACTCACCTTTTTTCCTTCATCAATTCTATGATTAACCTCGTCCTTCATAAATCCATGTACGTATAAAAATACACAACATATCCCTTCAAACTGCCAATATCTCAAACCCCTCCTTTAAGAGTGCAGGCATTGTACTTCCCATTTCCAGGACTCGAGTCCAGTTATATAAAATAACTGCTTTCCCTGAAGCCCTTCACTAAATATACCCTGCTCACACTCCAACAGCTCGTCAGGTTCCAATACCATTCGTCTCCATTCACTCCCGCCTAACACGCTCGTGCACGCTTGCTGGAAGTCCAAGTCCCTCGCCCACAAAACCTCCTTTACTCCCTTTCCCCCCAACCTTTTCGAGGATGACCCCTACCCCGCCTTCCTTCCCCTACAGATTTATACGCTCTCCATGTCATTCTACTTTTTATCCATTCTCTCTAAATGACCAAATCACCTCAACAACCCCTCTTCAGGAATTGAGACACATACGCAACACACAGGAATCTTTATTGAAGAAACATTTTGCCCCACAGTGGCTTTATCAGTCCAATACAAAGTAGAAATGGGTAAGGAGAGGAGTAGTTTGAGGTAATCAGTCCCTCAACCTGGAATCTATGTGTTCAGTCCATCACTCTTGACTTCCTACAAGAGTGATGGATGGCAAAACATTTCTTCAATAAAGATTCCTATGTGTTGCACAAATGTCTCAATTCTTCAACTTGTCAGTTTTCAAAACCATTCATCACAACCCCTCTTCAGCCCTCTGACTAATACTTTTATTAACTCCACACCTTCTCCTAATTTCCACACTCCGAATTTTCTGCATAATATTTACACCACACATTCCCTTTAGACAGGACAAAGAATGTTTTACTATATTACAATTAGATGGAGAATGGTAAGTACTTGGATTTGATCCAAGGAGAGGGTAGTTCTAATTCCTTGGATAAAGATCTTTTCATCAAGGCATTTTCCAGGGAAAGTAGTGCCTGAACTCTGGAGGGGTGGGGATATTGCAGTTGTTGGGAGGGGGCATCTGAGCTGTAATGTCAGCGCACCTCTGGCAAGACTTGAGTGGTGGTGAGTTTCTTCTTTTTCTGGTTGCACTACCTCAGTTGGAGACAGTGGGTGTGTTTAAAAAAAAAATGATTGTGGTCACTATATTCTAGTCTCTGCTCATTCTGTATGTTAATTTTCCTCCTCCTCATTTTTTGTTTTTGTTGATATCTTTCCACTTATCCTCCCTCTACCTTCTTTTTTACCTCAGTCTTGTACTGGGTAGTGCTACACGAGTCTTCTGGGTTTAACACTTTACATGAATTACAGTTCTTTAGGCTCTATTGGTCTTTGTAAGGGATTATGAAACACCAACATGACAATTTGCAAAATCATAACATGATCAACAACAACTCTGGGACTGGGTAGGGTTCAAACCCATGGCAAGCCAGTTGCTAGCGACTGCACACAACTCCATACGTACATCTGAGGTTATTTGTATTTATCTGGCTCTAACTTAAATTTAGAATGCTGTGTGTATATGAAATAAAATGGGAAAACTTTTTATTTTTTGCTTTATTTCTGTACATGTGATACACATAATTTAAAAGTACAGGTATATACATTAACAATTCTTATGCAGCCACGTTTACAAACATGCATCAATTAGAACTTGCATTATCAGTATTTATCTCCTGACCTGTGCCCACAGCAAAGTGAGGTATTTTGATAGGCTTAGACTAATAATAGCAAGTATCATCCTATAAAAATGTATATATACGTATATACAGTATCCCAAATTCAACCCATTACTTCTTGGAAATTCTTACTGAAGAAAGGATTGTGGCCATTTGTTGAGTTCATTTATGTAAAGTGAAATGGTAATCATTTCCAGCAGTTTATTAAATATAGTAGCAAATGGGTTACTTCTTTTTTAACCCTTAAACTGTCCAAACATAGATCTACGCTGACGTGCGTAGCGCTCCGAACATAGATCTATGTTTTTTTTACATGCTTTCAAATAGAGAAAATAAAGGTCAGAGGACTACGCACGTGAACGTAGATCTACGTTTGGACAGTTTAAAGGTTAAACACCCTATATATGTATAACAAATTTCAAAACACAAAAATATACAAATTTAACAAAGTCAGTTTTATGCACTCCTTGATGAGATCACTGACTGGTTTCACGAGCCAACTTAATCTATAAGATAATGGGAGTGTATACAATTAAAAGTTTACACCACACATTGTTATATAGTATTCACTAAATTCAGAACATTATAACTGGGTTTTTATTAGGTAGTCTAAATTTTTGTGCTAGTTGTCTATCTTAATTTGTAATATTGCATGCAAGTCTATTAATGCAAAATAAAAGCCTTACCCATTCCTTTCCTGAATCTTACGACAAATTTCATCTGTAAATTCTGAACACTTTGCTTTGCCCCCTAGATCACCGGTTCGAAAATTACCTTCTTTGATGGTTTCAAAACAAGCTTGTTCAATAATTGTAGCATGATTATACAAGTTCATAAACCGAAGCATCATTACTGCAGATAACAAAAGCGCTGTTGGATTTGCTTTGTCCTGACCTGCAATATCAGGTGCTGTGCCATGAACCGACTCAAAGACCGCACCACCCTCACCGATATTTCCAGATGGTGTTAGACCTAAGCCACCTACTAATCCAGCACAAAGGTCAGAAAGAATATCCCCATACAAATTAGGCATAACCAACACATCATACTTTGATGGATCTTGTACCATATTTAGGCATACTGTATCCAAATACTTTTCTTCGAACTTGATGTCAGGGTTTCTCTCTGCAGCTTCCCGGCAACAACGCAGGAAAAGTCCATCTGACATTCGCATAATGTTTGCTTTATGGACTGCTGTTACTTTAGACCTGAAATTTATTGGACATTTAAAATATGAATGTAAGAAAGGAAGCATGCTAAAATCTATTCCATCTCATACTTCATATTTTCTTTAGGATATCAATGTTTGGGAAATAAACAAAAGAAAATTTTATCTTGAAAAGACTTCCTGGCAACTCACATTATTTCACAAATAAAGTAATAATAGATATGCCCTTGTATTGGCCTAGTGCTTAGAATGACGAGAAAAAACTAAACGTTAAATTTTGACAAACAAAAAATGCCAAGTGACGCAGACATTCCTACCTCTTATGTTGGTGAAATAAGCTTACCTTCCATTATTACGGGCATACTGAAAGGCATACTCTGCTACACGACGAGAAGCTGGTTCTGTGATCAACTTGATACTTTGCACTACACCATCTACAATTTCATGCTCAATACCTGAGTATTCTCCTTCAGTATTTTCACGGATGGTCACCACATCCACATCTCATAGAGTGTCTCATATCCCTCCATGCTCCGGCATGGACGTACATTAGCATAAAGATTAAATTCTTTACGAATAGCCAAATTCAGGGAGCGATGACCCTTGCCAACTGGAGTCATTAAAGGGCCTTTCAACCCAATTCCATTTCGATTAACTGAATCAATGGCTGCGGAGGTATCCCAAACTTGCCATCAGGGCCCTTCACTGGTGTTACATCAACTTCTTCCCAGACAATTGGAACCCGAAAATAGTCAACATGTAATAATACTGTACATCTACCATCCGACTTACGACCTGCTCGACATACAACCACTCGGCTTACGACCATGTTTTGTATGCCAAATTTTTGGGGAAATAAACAACTGTTTGTGTTGTACAGAGTGTTTATCCTAAACCTTACAGTATAAAATACAGTACTAACAGCATAAAAAATAAAGTAATAAATGAAATACTAAAATGAAACAAAATAAAATCATTAAAAAAACGTGATGTTGATATTCAGTAGTAAGATTCGACTTATGTCCATTTTGACTTTCGACCAGTTGGTTGGTACCAATCTTGGTCGTAAATCGGATGGTACCTGTACATCATTTTCTTCAGTAATTTTTCATTACCAAACTGGACCATTTACAGTTCCCATTTCCTTTATAATGAGTACAAGCAAACAAATATACGCTAAATAAACCCAGTATAGAAAAGGTCTGGTGATGGCTGAACCAATTTTAAACCCAGTTTACATTATTCACTTATTAGTTTAAGTATAATATGCAAACTACACAAAAACACGATACAGGTACTGTATAAACCAATAATTTGCAACAACTCAGATACACAAAAGCATTATTCTAGAAGTAAAAATACTTATCATAAAAAATACAATACATACTGTATTATGTACACATCTTAATTATCATTTGTCATAACTTATAAAACTATGATTGAACATAAAAAATGCACAATTTTTTATCTACTACAATATCTTTTTTTTTTTTTTTTTTTTTTTTTAGTGCAGTACGTATGTATATCAAAATAATCCTTTGAATGAAGGGAGTACCATATCAACATTCTGCCATTAGCTGATCATGCTCACTTACAGTATACCAACATCTTCCCTAATAGGTACCTACAATACATACAGTTGTTAATGGTACGAGATAATGGCTGATCTTTACTCTCTTAATTAAAAAAATGACTCAAGACTTACTAACCTCTGCAGCAGAGAAAATTTTTTGTACAGCTGCCGAGATTTCTGGTCCAATGCCATCTCCAGGTATTAAGGTGACAGTGCGTGCATCACTGCTGTAGTGTCGAACCCCAGCCAATCGTGCACCACTGATCTGAGAAAAAGTAATATTTTGCATAGTTCATAATTAGCACAGTTTAATAACTACTGTTATATGATAATATTTTAATGTGTCATATGCAACTGGTATTCGTTTTCCCTCTGGTTATGTTAGCTTAATAATCCCATCCCTAATATTAGCAGGTTAACAGAGGAAAATCCAAATACGTATAGTCCTGGGGTTTAAAGCGTTTTGCTCACAGCCTAAAAGACCAGCATCAATCCTGGGCAAGGAGATGTAATAATAATAATAACAATATCTTTATTTCTACAAGTACATGTACAAGGTATACAGACCATTTGCTGACATCAATGACATACTACTATATAGAAAGCCGCTTGTTATTACCTGGAGTTTACCCGGAGAGAGTACCGGGGGTCAACGCCCCTGCGGTCCGGTCTGTGACCAGGCCTCCTGGTGGATCAGAGCCCGATCAACCAGGCTGTTGCTGCTGGCTGCACGCAAACCAACGTACGAGCCACAGCCCGGCTGGTCAGGAACCGACTTTAGGTGCTTGTCCAGTGCCAGCTTGAAGACTGCCAGGGGTCTGTTGGTAATCCCCCTTATGTATGCTGGGAGGCAGCTGAACAGTCTCGGGCCCCTGACACTTATTGTATGGTCTCTTAACGTGCTAGTGACACCCCTGCTTTTCATTGGGGGGATGTTGCATCGTCTGCCAAGTCTTTTGCTTTCGTAGTGAGTGATTTTCGTGTGCAAGTTCGGTACTAGTCCCTCTAGGATTTTCCAGGTGTATATAATCATGTATCTCTCTGTTATGCAGAGCATTTCAGGCAAATTAGGTAAATTTTGTCCCAGGATGCGACCCACACCAGTCAACTAACACCCAGGTGCCCATTTTATACTGAAGGGTGAACACAGACAACTGGTGTAAGGAAACACACCCAATGTTTCAACCCTCACTGGGAATCGAATCCAGATCCTCACCATGGGAAACAAAAGCTTTTGCCACCAGGCCACAGGCCACTGTGGCCTGGTGGTGGTAGAATTCAATATTAACCAAAATTTAAACAAAGTATGAAACCTAAATAAACATAATTAGCATATAATGAATTGAAACAAGGTAATATTATCATTATTTTTATTACTAATTACTATTATTATTAATTACTATTATTAAATTTTATGATCGCACTCAAATCATAAAGACTAACTAGTGAAGCACAACTCGCACACTTCACTACCAACAGTTACATTATTTTCTACTTTGATGATGGTGAGAGGCTCTTGATCCACGGTGCCCCGTGGCCTGGTGGCTAAAGCTCTCGTTTTACATGGCGAGTGTCTGGGTTCGATTCCCAGCGAGGGTCAAAACACTGGGTGTGTTTCCTGACACTGGTTGTCTATGTTCACCCATCAGTAAAACGGGTACCTGGGTGTTAGTGGACTGGTGTGGGTCGCATCCTGGGTGTTAGTGGACTGGTGTGGGTCGCATCCTGGGTGTTAGTGGACTGGTGTGGGTCGCATCCTGGGTGTTAGTGGACTGGTGTGGGTCGCATCCTGGGTGTTAGTGGACTGGTGTGGGTCGCATCCTGGGTGTTAGTGGACTGGTGTGGGTCGCATCCTGGGTGTTAGTGGACTGGTGTGGGTCGCATCCTGGGTGTTATTGGACTGGTGTGGGTCGCATCCTGGGTGTTAGTGGACTGGTGTGGGTCGTATCCTGGGTGTTAGTGGACTGGTGTGGGTCGCATCCTGGGTGTTAGTGGACTGGTGTGGGTCGCATCCTGGGACAAAATTGACCTAATTTCCAGGAAATGCTCTGCATAACAAAGGGCTTTCTATATAGTAATGTCACTGATGTCAGCTATGACTGTATACCTTGTACATGTAGAAAATAAAGATATTATTATCGTCTCCTCTGGATCAACCTGAGTGTCACCCATCCATCCCCCCCCAGGCGCTGTAACACCCTTTACGGAGTTAGCGCCTCCCCATCAATATAATAATAATCATAATGATAACAGCATGACCACACATCACTTACATGCTTCATTTTCAAATTAAAAATTAAATTGGAGAGACTGGGGAATAAATATTTACCAAAAACTTGGCGACCCGGCCAGCCATCTCCACCTGACGTTCTTGAGGAAAATTTCGTCTGCAAATGTTTAAAAAAAATGAACTTCTAATATAATAGCTTATTTGAATATATTTTATGTATTTTACGTTATCTAAATTTGTACATATTCACACGTATTCTTTCTCAGAATAAAATTTTTCAGATTTTTTGAGAACTTTGTGAATGCATTGTATGTATATTTTTTTTTTGTATATATTTAGGGAGATATAAAATTGAAATAGACATCAGATGAATCAAATAATTCAATTTAAAAACTGAAGAAATTGACAGTTTCTTTAAGAATGATAATATGATAGACGTAAAAATAAATGAAATGCTACAATTTCCAATGTATGGTATTGATCAGTTACAACGCATTTTTATTTTAAATGATATAATGCAATGAAGAACAGCGCATAAGATAATAATTATCATTATATTCTAATAGCATTTAATCCAGATACTACAGACATACAATAAAATAAAATAAAATAATTTCATCGGTAACGAATCATATATATATTTTTGAGTTATTAATATCTTTCAAGTAAATTACGCTTCAAATAATAATTATAAAAATATTATAGTATGAATTCCGTGGTAGTTAGTATAATAAAGAGTAGACAGCGAGGTTACAACATGTGTACATTATGGTTGTGGTTGATGGCAGAGGAGCAAGACACAGCAGTCATCACTCTTATTGTAACTTATTTCATTATCCTCGCTGCCACCAGTCTTCCCACTGCTCCTCACCACTATGTCTGACACTGAACAAGGCGCTGTCCTGGAGAAGGTGGAGGAGAAGCCAGCAGAGTGTGAGGAGGAGAAAAAAGAGGTATGATACTCCATTCTAGTATGATGTAAACAAACAACTAGCACAACCTTCCATATATTTACCTCACTGAGTGTTCTTATACCCGTCATGGTTTATCGAACTTGCTGCTACCTTTTGTAATATACCCAGCTGAAAAATCTTTTAAAAAGTCCCTTATGATTTTGAGGAATTTTCTGAACATTTTAGTGTCAATCATAATAGTTCACTTTAATGACTTGATGACTATGCAAAGTTGTAATTTTTTTAAATTTGTATAAAAGCTGTGTATATTTACAATAATAAATCTGTAAACAAATGTAAATTAAATAGTTTTTTGAATATAGGTACACAGACAGGCCACCGGTGGCCTGGTGGCTAAAGCTCCCGCTTCACACGGAGGGTCCGGGTTCGATTCCCGGCGGGTGGAAACATTTCGACACGTTTCCTTACACCTGTTGTCCTGTTCACCTAGCAGCAAATAGGTACCTGGGTGTTAGTCGACTGGTGTGGGTCGCATCCTGGGGGACAAGATTAAGGACCCCAATGGAAATAAGTTAGACAGTCCTCGATGACGCACTGACTTTCTTGGGTTATCCTGGGTGGCTAACCCTCCGGGGTTAAAAATCCGAACGAAATCCTATCTTATCTTATCTTAACTGTATATTTGTGTACCCGTACCTGAATAAACTTAATAAGTAGGTAACTGGTACATAAGCATGTATAATTAACTTCAGGTACACAAGTATAATTATCATACCAAGTAACGTGTGTCAAGTCCCATCAGTGAGATGATTACTGTTTTAGCTTCCTACCTGAATTAGGCTCTCACTTAGCCCAGCAATTACTCATTATTACCTTCATCAAAAAACGTGCACTTGATAGAGGAACCTCTCAACCCTTTGGTCCGCTGTAGGTCATTATAATTTTGCCTCGCAGTGGTCGGATGACAATTTGACAGTGGTCCAGTGTGGACTGTCATTATGTTGGTAAGTTTATTCAGGTACAAGTACACATAAATAGTTACATAAATTATCATACATAGGTTGTGTGTAGATCACCCTCCAGGATAACCCCAAAAAAAGTCAGTAACTTACTTCCTCTTCTGAGTGCAGGTGAATTGTTCCAGCCACAGTATTAACTCTTTCAGAGTCTAGACCCCTGATATCAAAATTGCTCTCAGGGTCCAAGAATTAAAAAAAAAAATCTTTAGAGAATGTTTTTTTTTTTTTTTTGTAATAAAACAATTTTCCCATCCATACTTACCAAGATAAAGGCTGATGGTAAACATCAGCTGCTGCATGCTCCATATTAGTTTTTTTTTTTTTTTTTATGTTTTTCTTTTCTAATGATTTTTCCACTAACTTCTGTGGCCTGTGAGACCATTATAATGCACAATGTATATATTGTACTGTATGCAACACAGTAACTGA